GGTCTTTAACAAAAAATAACGTATACTTATGTCGTCGGATTAACACCAAATTTTCACAGCTTTAAGGTGACAGTGAGAGGAACTTGAATGTGTCCAGACAAACTATTTCATCGATTATTTACCAACGAGTTGTGGTTTGAGTTGGGGGCAATGCGACTAAAACAGTAATTGAAATTCAGCACAGTATTTTTTAAAACGCGTTGCTTGAATAAAACTGACCAGACTATTGAACAACTAGGAAAAGTGAAAAAAATACTTCTTATCACCAGCATAAATGCGTAATTATTTTTTTTACAGAAAAAGTAATTTTTCACCTTTGATTGAGTAACGCGTCGTAGAATGCAGATACCGGCATGCAAAATACACTTGTGAAGAGCTTGAAATCTGGCGATTCTAAAAATATATACTTTCCCGGGTCTATTTGTAGTCATTTAGTCACAATTAGAAGATGAAAACAAGTATGCAAATAATAGTCCCGCTACCTTAATATAATGCGTTCACTCAGACCAACGATCAGATGTAAATATCACCCACTCGAGTGTCCATGACTATTATTTGGTATAATAAAATTATTCAGGAGTTTCAATTAATTCCGATTCTGGGTTATTTGTGGTTGACGAAAGTGGATGTACATTTGTGATACAAAACTGGAAATAACCCAACCGACAAAGCCGTATAGAGAAATGTCCAAGATCACAAACCAAACAACTGACAACGTCCAACAATAGAACTCTCAACACAGAACAACTGAAAAGTGTGCTACAACACGTATTCAAATCAATAACAAAAACGACATATAGATTCCGTGGTAAACATAAAGTGATGTTAGGTGTCTCGAAAAGATCACAAATGAACATATTCTGCTACACATGTGACATCTGTGATAATTTAAGTAATGGTTTTAACGCATTATATTAGCCATAAAAAGTGATTCTAAAAAATGGTCATTCAATACAAAAAAACCTTGATTTAATATTTTGAACGAAGGAATACGATCATCGTTTTCGTCGTAAAGCCTGGTAGAAAGCTGACCTTTGAATAATATTCGAAACGCATATCTCAGTATGAAGCAGTTGGTTTTAATATAATGCGTTCATTCAGACCAACGATCAAATGTAAATATCACCCACTCGAGTTTCCATGACTATTATTTGGTATAATAAAATTATTCATGAGAGTTTTAATCAATTCCGATTCTGGGTTATTTGTAGTGAGACGAAAGTGGATGCGCATTTGTTTATTCAAATCAATGAACAAAGACATATTGATTCCATAAAGTGATGTTAGGTGTCTTGAAAAGATCACAAATGAACATATTCTGCTACACATGTGACACCCGCCATATATTATATTATTATGAGTCCTAATTAAATTCCTTCTGATTGACACCTGAGTTCTACATCAGAAAAGTATCATATTTTTAAGTAATGGTTTTATCGCATTATATTAGCCATTAAAAGTGATTCTAAAGAATGACCATTCAATAAAAAAAACCTTGGTTTAATATTTTGAACGAAAGAATACAATCATCGTTTTCGTCGTATAGCCTGGTAGAAAGCTAACCTTCGAGTGATATTCGAAACGCATATCTCAGTATGAAGCTGGCTGTATTGGTAATTCTTGAAAGATATCATCCATCAAGCTTTTTTTAACAAAAAAATGGTCCACTACGGTACAACTACATTGTATCACGGTACAAAAGCACCGATTTTGTTACTGATGAAACTAATGTAAACAGGTTTTATACAAGAAATGACACCGTCAGTATGCTTAGAATTTGATGGCCATGCCTTTCAACAGAGCATTGACATTCCAATGAAAACTACTTATGCTCCTCTGCTAGCTATTTTATTGTCATATGAGGCTGAATTTCTTCATTCAATTTTACCTTCAGGTATATTGATTATACATTTTCAGTCCATCAATAATTAATGTTCTATGATACATCCACCTGAACTTGAAATCAAAGAAACCACAGAATTAAGTTCCTCTGTCTTGTATCTTGATGTCCTCCGTGAATTTCATCTTAAGGGTAGCCTTTCTACTAGACCGTATGACAAGACTTTGATTTCCCCATAATCAATTGTCTCATCTTTGTAGTAATGTCCCTCTTTCTCCTGCATATGATGTACACATACAGCTTGTTCGATATACTGGAGGTCGCATGGATTATGGTGACTTTGCGAAAAGTCATAGACTCCTGTCTTGCAAGATTTCATAAATCAAGAGTTTCTGCCTTTTATCTCCATGGCATATTTGTATTTGGCAATAAGGTTACAACTACTCGACTTTATGACAAAAAAGTAGACTTTGATTTTACCATCATCAATTTTCCTCATCTTTGTTGGAATACCCCTCTTTCTTCTACATATAGTGACTTTGAAAAAACGTCACAGACTCCAATCTTCCAAACTGGCTAAGTTGAGGTTTTTTAAAGGAACTTATCTCAATATTGACAAGCTTTTCTATAGTAGATATCATGAGCTGGTGACAAAATACGACAAATCACCTAGGCAGATGATCTCTGATTGTTTTACCATCATTCGTTCCAGGTAAAAGGTAACTTCATGAATAGGGCTGGATATGCCCACACATTTGCAAACACCTGATATCACATGTTAGTCTTAACCCCGAGGTCCATATATCATTCTTTCGTACATTAATTGTTGTATGTAAATGTACATTGTACTTTGTTGAAATCCATGTACGGCTGCTGTGTTTTTGATAAATAAATGGGTATGTCAGTGTTTCTTATTTCATTAAATAATGGACCTTAGAAAAGATTAAATTTTGTATTGAAAGTACATCATCGATATATCTGAATAAAAAAATGAATGATTTGGCTTTTTACCTTTTATTTTTAACTAATTTCTCTATAGAAATTAAGTTTCACACGAATAAAGACAAAAACATTTTGTTGTTGTTGAAAATATGTCCTCCACACTCAACAAATATATAAAGAAGTTCTAGTATACTGATCTGCAGTGTAGAACAGTCTTGTTCCTAATAAAGTAAGTAGAATCGTATCCGACCATTATGTGTCTGTGACAATTAGAACTATTTAAAAATACTTCAAGGATAATGTCGTTAATGCGAATATGCTGATCATTCATTCTTATCAGATTCATCAAGCTTCGAATAATTGAGAGGCAGCTGTAATCACAAAATGTTCGTTGTCGTTTTATACCAGACCTCCAATATGGCTGAAACGTCTGCAAAGTTCATTGCATAATTTGTCCAGATGTATTGTAGATTTGTAAATAAACATATACTAGTTAAATCATTTATTGATTTGTACATGAATTAGTACTATATCTTTGATATCTGGCAGAATGCGTGCAAGGTATTACTACTCTAATATTTCGATAAAATCAGGTATGTTTTACCTTTCCCATTTCCCTCAAACGTTCCATTCTGCTGTGTGCGGGCACTGCAAATGCGTCATTCGGACGAATCGAACATATCGAAGTTTGCATACGGTTCGCATCTGTACGAATTAAATGAATCGCAACTCCATGGCAAATTTTGTACAGAACTATCTCAATTAAATGTCTACGGTGCCAACACATTATTTGAAAAATGAAAAATATCGCAAAATATGGTGCAATTATGGCATGGATGCATTCCCATCTAAAAAATAAAGCTTATTGTTAATGGGCATTGATATTCCAATCAAGGGTAAAATTACAATGATGGATAAAATACATTGTTTATTTACATAAAATTCAGACACACGCTGCGCGACGACCACCGCCCTTTAAACAACAAAACGATACTACTATCTATTGGTCTCCAAGTAGGTACAATAATTTATATGCAAATACAAAAAACAGTCGTGTTACTAATAAAACATTAATGCCCATTTCTGAGTGAAAATACGAAAACAAAATTACAAGCACTGGTAATGACACGTTCCGCTTGTTAACTGTTAGAACTTATCTCAAACTGATTTGACAGGTAAAAACAATTAGAAATAAGAACATGATTTATTGTGAATTTCTTCTTGACAAAGTATTTGATTATGAACATTTCGTGTGGAATAATACAGATTTGTTAAATAAATTTGTTTCTCTATATCGAGTCCCGTATGTTCTCGGCTGATCTGCACTGGCTCGGAAGATGAATTCTGATTGGCTAAAAAAAACAAAAAAACTTGTGGCGTTGAATGCACGTTCATTGTCAGTATTGTTATGCAAATTCAAACTAGCTAATCATTTACAACCTTCCGAGCCAGTGCAGATTAGCCCTATGTTCTGGTAGAAAAGAAGTTTAATGATCACGTGCACCCGCTTACGGTGTGATTGCAATAAACTTTCGTCTTTACAAAGAACTCTGAATTCTATAAATTGAACAGTGTGTACCCAAAACTGTCTAAAGCGGAATCACGTGGACTCGTGTAGCAATATATAACACAGGGGTAGCGTTACACATATTATATGTTTGTGTTTATGTATAGGTTAGACCACGGTCCGAGGTAACCGAGGGGCGTGATCTAACCGACTTAGCACTGGCCAACCAGACCGAGAAAAGATTCGTATTAGCAAATCAAATGATGACATTTTGACAGCAATCAGACTTGTGAAATAACATTTTAGTACATTATGTTACATTTTATCAAAAGTTGCAACGATGGCCTGCGTGCTACCAGTAGAGTCAGTTGAATCGAACTAGGTGTTTTCTGTAACTCAATGGATACTTTGTATCTTTTCTTGGTGTTATAAATAAATTGTTGCAATAAAAATCCCTTGATTCAGCCCTGACCTAAGTGAATTGTGGTGAAATAGAACCACACTTTATTGCTACTCTGATTGGTCGAGGGCTGTTGGTCATGTGCTAAATGTGGGACACATTAAAAAAAGCGCTCACATTGGATTGGCGTGGAATTTCAAATGTTGTGCATACTTTGCAAAGCTGTGCATAAATAATGAAAGTCAATACCAGAATCTCCATTTAATGTACTACACTGTAACCTCAATATAATGAACACCTTTATAATGAATTTCCTGATATAATGAACACATAACATGTCCCCCGCTTACAACAAACCCAATGTATTATGTGCTTCAATATAGTGAACATTTCACTATAACAAACTAATTGTATGTCTCCTAAAGAGTTCGTTATAACGAGGCTACAGTGTATTAATAACATCTTACAAAACAGTAATAGATCTATTGATTAAAACATCAACAAATAAATATGGAAATAATTTGCATAACCAATGTCATGCAATTTTCGCCATTAGCAAGTATAATTTGTTATGACTACGTTAATTACTTTGAACTCCAAACTCGTGTTTCTGGGCAATCAACTTTATTTTATTAACATTATTTTGAAAAAGAAAAAAAACGTAAAGCTGTGTGAATGAATTGAAACTACTGCTGATGATGGAAAACTAAAACGGCAGTGTCGACGAAAAATTAGATGGGCACGCGCTCTCTGCGTAAACGGAAACGATGGCTCTGTTTTGTTTGGCTGATATCGATAAGCAACATATTTCTGTTCCTCGTCACTGTGTTAGTAAAATGGTGTTAGTAAAATAGAATATTGCCTTAAAAAGATTTATAAGAAAGTTGCGCAAAGTTATGACCACAATTTTCCGACGAAGTCTTGACTGACAATAATGCTGACAATGGACGTTAGATAAACAAGCATTGTTTGCGACAGGAAACTTATCAGCAAAAATTGTCACATAATTATAGAATAAGCTAAATATGGGTGAGTGGGTGGGGATAATTTTATGTTGTGTAAAATCAGAATTGTGACTGACGAGAGCGTGGAGGAATCAGCAAAATGGCGGACTGGTGTTGAACAAGTCCGCTGGGGGCGCAGTACAAGAAAACACAAGATAAAAACAAATTAAGTTCTAGGGGGCGACCTGCTCTAGAAACAAATCCATAGAAAATTAAACAAAATTGCAGATAATTTATTACAGTATTACAGGTAAGACAAGAGCAATGATGTCAAGGATTGGTGTGGCCATTGTATACCCTATGCCCAACATGCTACTGTACCCAAGACAAAATGCACCATTTCATCAAAATATTAGATATTCAAGGGCTATTTCGAGAGTCAACGGAAGGAATGAGGTAATCCTAGTGGCAGATTATTTTACTAATTTAAATGAAGCACTGTTTTGCCAGACCGAGGCAAAGACAGTAGTGAGAGTACATTGTGTACGAGTGCTCAATTTTATATTTAGGTTTCGTGTACCAAGAGAAATTTATGACAGAAATTATGATTTTCAGTCTGGGGCCGTAGCTTCTATCCAATATCTAGAGGTAGAATAAAGCAATGGCGGGAATGATTATCCAAACAGCACAATCTACCACTAATGCCATTCATTTGAACATCCTACCACAATACACTGAATACTATGACACAAATACTCCTAGTATGTTTTTCTTAGTACAGTGAACTGTAATACCATTGGACCTGATCCCACTAGAGTTGCATTGACTTTAATGTGAGTAAAGAATATGTAAAGAAACAATAGTAATGAATGCATACACATTCAAAATAAAAAGAATGAAATTGAAGACTGGTAGTAAAGTGCCATGAACAGCCTAATAAGATATCACTGTAAAGCAAGTATTGAATAACTGTAGAAGACACAGGGTTACCAAACTACAAAATGCTCACATCAACGATAATTTCAAGACAATCAAGTGTAGGTATTTCACCAGACGATCGTGAAGTGTAGGTAGACTAGATGTTATACGCTAAGTTGGTAATGAACCTTTCTTGATTTGATAAAGAAAGTGTCATTCTCAATACTAGAATGACTAGATACGAATGACGAATCTTGTTGACATAGAACTAAAGCAGGATAATTCCCAAAGTGCAGTAATTTAAGTACTGTTATATATCACAAATAATCTGAAGTTATTCATTCATTTGTACCTCTATTCTGCTCTGCCATTAATGCTGCTGGTATCATGCATTGTTGGTTTGTTCTTATTGATCCAGTTCAAGTTCAAAGCACAATGCAAGGCAGAATATCTTAGAACTGAACTTTCACTGGATATTCAACCTGCATTCAATTAAATTAATTTCTAAATTCTACCATGCAGAAACAACTACATGTATGCATCAAACCATGACACTTTAAACCAAGCTGTTCAATCATTTATTCATTTATTTATTTATTCATTAATTCAATAATTTGAATATGAATACAAATGTTACAGTTTATGATTCTACATATGAACTTGAAAACAACTGAGGGTACATTAATTAATGTACATAAAAACTGAGTGGTCTATTAATTTGCATACAGACAGCATACTGTAAAGGGGGTAATTATTCACTGGGTTTTAATTTAGCTTATTTCGCTGACTGGGAAATGCGCTAAATTAAAGCCCAGTGAATATGTAAAATTTAGCATAGAACACATTATCTAAATGACGAAACCGTGAATTTAAAACACACTGAATATGCCTCAAATGGTAAATCAGTGAAATTTAAACCCAGTGAAAATTAGTCATTTTACAGTATACAAAAACAATAAGACAGCAACAAACATTACAGATGTTTTTTATCTTCAAAATGTGCCTTCTATGCCGAGGAGAATAATCAAAACATTTACTTTACATTAGTTATAATGTTGTGATGGAAAAGTACTGCTTTATTTATTAGTTAAAAAGGTTACACTGAAATTAGACACTACTTCCCTGAAAATGTTTATTTCTTTTATTCTTAGACTAAATGTATGATATCTATTTTGAGCCAGAGCTTATAAATTACTGGGAAAAGTCTACTTAGAAAAATCTCAGAATCCTTGAAGAAAAAACTAAGGAATATACATGAAAAAAGCAATGATAGAAAAAAAAAAACATATATATAGTAAAAATCACTGCAGAACATGTTAAGGAGGCGTTAAGGACGAAAACATTACGTTAAGTCGTTCATTTCATTTGATTGCTCAAATTTAGATTTTATCTGTAATGTGATCTATGGAATTTGAAACAATGTCTCTTGATATGCAAATGAGGCAACATAACATGTGATAAATCATGTGGTCGCTAATGTGATGGATCATGTGATCAATCATGCCATGTGATAATTTTTTTATTATTAGATTATCATTTGATATAAAACACATTAGCGACCAGTCACATGACCTACCACATGAGGCGATACTTTTCATCTACTACCTAATCCATTCAGACGTAAGCTTATTCTCCAAGAATAACTGTACGTGCCAACAGTTCAATTACTTTATATGGATCACAGTTTGACGACGGACGTCTATCTTCTAGATAGCCCTTTCCTTCCTCCGCACACTGCAAAACAAAACAATATAAAAATGTAAAGTCAAAGTAACTCCATGTGTTACAAGTCATTGACAAGATACAGTCCCTGTTGTGGAATAGCAGGAAAAAATGGTGTGTGCGATTGTAACAGTCTGAATATAAAGTCAAAGTAACACCATGTGTTACAAGTCATTGACAAGATACAGTCCCTGTTGTGGAATAGCAGGAAAAAATGGTGTGTGCGATTGTAACAGTCTGAATATAAAGTCAAAGTAACTCCATGTGTTACAAGTCATTGACAAGATACAGTCCCTGTTGTGGAATAGCAGGAAAAAATGGTGTGTGCGATTGTAACAGTCTGAATATAATCGACTTAAATATAATCAGCATTTTAAAGATATAGCACTGCAGAATTTTACAAGTCATTGTCAATAACATAATCCCTGTTGTATTATAGGCAAGAGATTTCGCATGACATGAAGTTTGAATTCAATCGATTCAGGCATGTTGAGATGTGGATCTGGAACTGCAGTTAATCATTTTTAGCTTGATCCAAAAAATAAACTGACGTGTATCAAGGTCCACTGTGTTCAATGTATTTACCTGGTTTAAACAAAATTCGTCTGCACACGACTGAGATTGATGATGTAAATGTGTGGTTTGGATGTTTTTCAGGCCTTAGTTTAAGCTGTCATCCAGCCATCTTGAACTTGATCATGGAACAAATGCATGAGCATATGTCCAATTTAAAGTCTGATGCATGTGTGAAGTTTGAACATTTTTAACGACTAAAATGGCTGTCAAAAATGATCAAAAAAAAAACATGTTGACTATCATGACCTGCCATCATATCAAGTTTGAACCAACTCGGTCAAACATGTTTGAAAAAGAACTATAGATATGCAAATCTATAAAAAAAAATAGCTGAGTCAAAATGCCAAAAGAACTCCAGGGACATTGAAGAGTAGGTGTTCACAACTGTTTAATACTGGATAAACAATACAACCAATTTAGCAGCATAATAATGAATACAATACATGTAATTAACATATTATATTGTTATGTAAATGAGTTGATACTTCATGCTGTTTTTCTGGGGAGAACACTGGTCGCTCCCAACATATAAAACCATCATACGAGTTTGAAACAAATCAGCCTGAGCATGTCCAGAAAAAGTATATTTTAGCGTGTTTTTTTTTTTAAGAAATTTTTGAACAAAATTACCAAACTGAGCATACATCATAAACTCAGCATGTACAACCTTCATACCAAGTTTGAAACAAATCAGGCTGAGTCTATTATCGTGCAGTGTTAGATAAAATATAGCTGAGAGTTCTTTTAGCACATCACAAAATCAATGCCTGTGCTACTAGCTATGTGTAAAATTTAAAAGAATCGGTCCAGGGATGTCCGAGATACAGAGACTAAACAATAAATCCCAGTTTACAGCCTTCGTCCAAAAGGGAGCAACAACAACAAAAAAAGAAAATTTAACATATTGTTACAAAATGAACTAACAAAGCAATTGGGCTCTGTGTGCTCAGTCTTCATCAATGACAGAGGAGCTAATAAGACAATCATTTAATTTGCAATTCCAGCAAAAATGAGAAAATAAAACAATGTGAAATTACCTGTCTTGGGATTCGTATACTGGCTCCCCGATTGGCAATACCGGCTGTAAAGTCATCAATATGGGCAGTTTCATGTGCACCTGTGAGACGTCGTCGGTTATCCATGCCTCCTTTTGGGTCATACGCTTTTATGTGCAAAGAATGTCGTTTAGACAATTTAGTGATGGCATCTTCAATGGCTCTGTAAAAATAGTAATGTAACACTAATTACAAAATACGTAATTCCCCAAAATTATTTACCATGCTCAAATGCCCATTTTAGATTAGAAAATTCTAAATAGTTATTTTGAAAAACATCATACTATAAAGATACATGTATGTAATTTCATTCAACAAGCTAAACAAACTTTATTTGGGGTGGGTGGGTTCATTTTGATTTAACAAGATGTCAGTAGAGGGCACAGTGATGGCTTTGGAGAAATCTGCATGATAAATGAGATACACTATTATTGTAACTTAGCGTAGAGCATGGTAACAAGTGGCGAATCAAGATCAAGGTGTATCTGCACTACAGATTCATCCCATATGCGGGTCAAAGCATATATACAAGACATTGTCAAAAACAGGCTGTTCTCTGATTGGTCGGCCTGTTAGGTGTTCAGATTGGATCTTGCAAGTACCTTGACATTGACTCTCGCTTGTGCAAACATAATGTCTTTCCCATTGTGAAATTACATGTATGTATATTAATTCACAGCAAGAAGTATGTAACTTTACAGTCTATGACTCATTGCATAGTGACAGATTTCTAAATTCATATAATTTAATTTCCATAGTTGAATTCAGCTAACACAGTTTTTAGCATAGAGACATCCTACAAAATTAGTAAAGTTATTTCACAAAATTCTGCAGAAAAATCCTTCTTCTTGAATTAGTTTTTCAATTATGAACCTCAAATGTTTTAACCAATTTCTAATTCAAAAGTAGGAATTGACACTACGGGGATGTTGTTTCCACACAAAAAAAGTTTTGGAACTCTGTTCTTTTTATTTGATTTTTGTCTTTTACAGTTGAGGACATAAAGCCGTGGTCGTTATCAACTGGTTATGATAATACATTTTTATAAATTAAAATTGAGTTCAACATTATACAATCAGCAAATGCCTTAATTTGAATAAGTGGGTGTTCAAAGTTGCTATGTCAAGTAAAGGCATGTGTACACATTATGGATGTAGACGATGTTCAGCTATGTCAAGTAAAGGCATGTGTACACATTATGGATGTAGACGATGTTCAGCTATGTCAAGTAAAGGCATGTGTACACATTATGGATGTAGACGATGTTCAGCTATGTCAAGTAAAGGCATGTGTACACATTATGGATGTAGACGATGTTCAGCTATGTCAAGTAAAGGCATGTGTACACATTATGGATGTAGACGATGTTCAGCTATGTCAAGTAAAGGCATGTGTACACATTATGGATGTAGACGATGTTCAGCTCTTCACGGATGATCCAACCATTAAAGCCAGAGGGTCATCACCTGCGCATGCACGGGAATTGAGTTCCAAGTGACGATAACAACAATGCAAAGGCTCATGGGTAGACGCTTGTTTGTAAACAATGACACGCTAGGGCCATCTGACGCATGCTCGGGTGACGACTCCCCCGCTTTAAATATTTGAATTCGAATGACAGCTAATGATCAGCATTTACATTTGTTTTATAAATAGGTTTATAGACAAAGCCCCAACTGTTGATTGTAATTTTAACCTACTTAATTCCATCAGCTTCTCGCATTGCTTTTGTGCTGAAATTAGTATGACAGCCCGCACCATTCCAGTCACCTTCCATTGGTTTGGGGTCGAAGGTGACGACAACTCCAAAATCTTCCCCAATTCTTTGCAAGATATAGCGAGCTATCCAAAGCTGATCACCCATATTGATTCCCTCACAGGGACCAACCTGGAACTCCCACTGTGCAGGCATCACCTCAGCGTTACTTCCCGAGATCTTGACGCCAGCATACATGCAAGCTCTGTAATGCGCCTCTACAACGTCGCGTCCATATACGTTGGTTGGCCCAACAGCACAGTAGTATGGACCTAAAAGTTAAACGAGATAGTTAAAGTTACGTTATTTTGCACATTATTTCTTTCACACATTTTTGCCAACCAGCAAGCGAATGTCTTAACAAATGTCTTTCACTGATCAGTACTTGCTCGCAATCTTCTGCGACACTGTTGACCAAGGACTCAAACTTGTATATTTAATAGCAGCAGTGAACAACATCAATATTTATCTTTGAGTGCAAACAACCGATCCTTGCCAACGACTCAGTCCTTGTGCAAACATGAAAACATAAACAAGTATGATGTCTTAAAAGAACAACATTTTTACCATATTAGCTTTATCAGAAGTACATACTATGCA